TATATATATATATATATATATATATATATATATATAAATATATAAAAAAAATAGAGATATATATATATATATATATATATATATATATATATATATATATATATATATATATATATATATATATATATATATATATATATATATATATATATATATATATATATATATATATATATATATTCATTTTACTAATTTATGTACTTTTAATTTTTATTAAAATTAAATTTATTTATATTTCTAATGAAATATAGTTTTATTCAAATTAATTAATTTGGAATAAACTTAAAAATGAAACCCCAATTTGATGATAGCAGGCCCAAAAGAATGTTTGGGGTCTGCTAATGTTGGAGTTGCCCTTACCGTATCCAAGTAATTTGTATAACACCTCGAAAGTTATTGGAAGATATTAGGGGTCATTAGCAAGAAATGGTGATATGTCCATCCCTTAAATCTTTCTTTGTGATACCCCTATAAATTTTATTCTCAATGCTACCCTTATGTCAATTAGCATAATTATTTCTTATTATTCATTTTTTCTCTCTCTCCATAACAATAATCTAATTTCTAAAAATCTGCTTCCAAATTTCTAAAAAAATGCTACCAAATAAAAAAAAATGATTTTTTTATTTCTTATTTTTTATTATTTTCGAATTTTATTTAGCCATTATTTATTTATTTACTTTTTTTAATATTTTTTTAATAAAAATATATTTTTAATTTATTTTTAAACAAAAACTTGAAATACTTTTCTCGACAGGTTTATAAAGCCGAATATGACTATAGTTGAATATATGTGACTATATTAACTGTAGTCATTTTTTTTATATTGCAGTTTTTCACTTTTTCAACTTCACAATTCCGATTATATAGTGTGGTATAGTCATTTTCACCAAATTATATAAAACAACGAAGATTCCCTATTGTTTACGAAAACAATCCAATCAACATCCACACAAAAAATCACAATTTGAATCTAGTTATTAGAAGTCAACTTGAAAACGAGAAGATAGAACATATTCGAATATGACTATAGTCATATTCAACAATGGTCATATTCGAATATGTGTATAGTCATATTCGAAAAATACATAAATATGACTATAGTCATATTCGAATATGATTATAGTTATGTTACTGCTGCTGTTCAGATCTCAAACTGTATTTTTAGATCTGAAAAAAAAAGAGAAATCCAATAATACATAAAAAAAAGAAAAAAAAAAGAAAAAAAAAAATCGAATAGTCATATTCGAACCAGACTATAGTCACGTTGATGCTGCTGCTCCAGATCTGGAGAGAGAAAAAAAAGAAAAAAATCAAAAATAACGAAAGGGAGATAGTGTGATGTGTAGGAGGCGATAACATGAGTTTTTGGGCAGGTTTGACATCGTAGCAAGTCTTGACGGCAGAACCCTAGACGGCGGCTGTGATCTCGGTGGTTGGGTAAGTGGATAATGGCAGTGGGTGAAAAGGAGGGAGGAGGGCGGCGGCGCTGATGTAAATCTCGAAGGCGAGCGGCGGTGGTTTACTGATCTACAAAGAAGAAGAAGAAAAAAAAGAGAAAATAGAGATTATGAGAGAAACAAAGAGAGAGAGAGTTAACGTGAAAGAGAGATCTGCAAAGAAGAAGAAGAAAAAAAAAGAGAAAATATAAATTATAAGAGAACTAGAGAGAGAGAGAGTTAACGTGAGAGAGAGAGAGAGAGTTAACGCGTTATTATTTTCGAATTTTATTTAGCCATTATTTATGTATTTAATAAAACCCTAACACATAGGGGTACTTTAGTCTTATCATATCAGGTAAGGGGGGTCTCACTAATTTAGATTGAGATTTGAGTTATGAGAAAAGTCTTTAAAGTCAATTGAGTTAATTCAAAATATAATCTAAATGAGGGGTATTGCATATTTCCCCAAGATATTAATAGGATCGTAATTATTTAATTTGCTATTAACTACATGTAACTGTAGTAAACTATAGTAATGCGTAGTTATGTTCTTTTTTTTTTACCCCATATTTTTAGTCGATCAATTATACACACACACGAATAGTTATTCGTGGCTTATACAAAAGAAATTCATCAACCCCAACAACAAAAAATTTCAAATTTCAAAATTTATATTATAAATCACCTAAGAACCAATAAAATACAAATCGAAAATACACAAATATATGCATATGTAACTACATGTTACTATATGTTACTAGTAATATATAGTAATGTACAATAATGTATATAGTCTGTTGAACAAAGCTGATGTAACTTCAACAAAAAAATTTGACACCTTCAAGGAAAGGATCAATGGCCTTCATTAAGCTGCAATTGCAAAAGCAAAAACAAAAAAATATTTTAGAGCAAATCAACAAAAACTAAAGAAACATCCTCAAAAATCAACAAACACTAAGAGATCGAGAGAAATAAATCTAAAAATATAACAATAAAATAAAATATAAAAATATAGAAATAAATCTGAAAATATAAAAATGAATGAAATTGACATCAAAATATAGATCCCGATGAGAGGAATCCAACGGTGGATAGCCCGTCAAATTCCGACTGGCGAAAAACAAATTACACCTCTAGTAAGATCACCGTCGTCAAAATACGCCAACTTAAAAAAATTGCAGCTATTTGTATTTTCTAATTGATTTTGGTTCAACAAATAGCAAAAAAAGATTTAAACAACAAAATCAAATTGCATAATTATTCATAATCTGCAAATTGAAACCTATAATAGTAGATTTTTTTTTGGCAAACTACATATTGCAATTTTTGTATTGTTAGAATACTTTTTATAATTTTATTGTTGTTTTTTGCATTTTTGTGGTATGGGTTATTTGTTTGTTTTGTATTTTTATTGTTATTATTTGCATTTAAATGATGTGTATAATATTTTCACTTTGTTGTTTGTAATTAAATGATGCTAATTTGTTTTTTCAGTTTGCTGTTTGCATTTGCCGAATTCATAGGTAGTTTGTTGTTTACAATTCAATAATGCAAATTTTAATTTTTAGTTTGCTATTTACTTATCACGGAGTCATAGGCGGTGATGCGGCGGCTGCGGCGGTGGTGAGTTTTTTACGGCCTGAGTTTGTACAATAAATACTATATTTTTTCTTTTACGAATCAAAATTATTTTATCTACCCCTCTGGACAGTCCCATCAATGAAGATACAATCATTTGACACTTTAATCAAAACGGAAAATTCTCTGTGCGGAGCGCTTACCATCTTGCTGTTCAAATGGAGTTGGAGAGAGTGGGTTCAGATTTATCTAATAGCTCGTCCCCAGTTTCCTCTAAGCCTTGGAAATGGTTGTGGGATCTGAGTTTACCGAGTAAGATAAATTTTTTTTTGGCGTAGCTGTAGAAACCTCCTTGCTACACTGTCGAATTTAGTTAAGCGAAACATTCTCGAGTCTCGTTCGTGGGAATTGTGTGGGGAAGGCGATGAAGATGTTTTGCGTTGCATTTCGCTGTGTTCGTTTACAAGGTAGGTGTGGGCCTTGAGTGGGGTTTCTTGGACGATTCATTGGTGGAATGAGCTTTCATTAACTGTTTGGTTGCTCAGGATGAAGAAAGATAAAGATAAAGCACAATTTGAATAATGTATGGTCGTTTGTTGGGCTTTATGGAATGCTAGAAATAAAAGATACTTCGAGGAGGAGAATGAGTCGGCAATGGATATAATTATGTTTAGCAAAAGGTTTGTTATGATTGGTTGCGAGAGTTTTCTGCAATAGTTTTAGGCTAGAGGAGTTCCATTGCTAGTCATCAAGGTGTAAATCGTTGGATGGCGCCTCCTAGTGACACTATCAAAATCAACTTTAATGCTTCTCTTCGTTTGACAGAATCTACTTGTGGTTTGGGGGACCTTGCACGATCTTTTGATGGTAAGTGAGTTGCATGGTTTTCTTATTGCCTTAAACAAAATCTTGATCCTGTTGTTACTGAGGCTATGGCATCTCTTAAGGCCGTGGATTTGCACTTGCTCATCTAATTTTTCGAATCGTACTGGAAGAAGATTCAAGCACTGTTGTTACAGCCATTCGATACATGGATGGGTTACGCACCGGCTATGGAAACTCATAGCTGACATTAAAAGGTTAGTTGCTCAGTTCGAGAAATTTGAAGTTTGTCATGTTAAAAGGGAAGATAATCGCGCCGCTCATGAGATCGCTAGATTATCATCTATGTCTACTTTCTCAGTAAATGTTCTTCCTACTGCTATGTTAGATATTGTAATGTCAGATCCTCACCAATATCAATGAATTTGTTGTTGTTTCTTTTTTAAAAAATAATAATAATTTTGTTTTAGTTAAAACTTGGAAGAGAAAAGTTTGGGCAAATTTGATTATGTAGAGAGATTTAAGGGATTTGATTTAATTTGATTAAGGGTATTTTTGCCACAATAAATATAATTAATTTATTATAACATGGACATTTTAATTTGGATCTATTTACATAAACTATAATGTCGACGGACCTATAGCAAATTTCCCCTTAAAATAAAGATTAAAGACATTCTATATTTTAAAACAATGTTTTACGGTGATAAATTGGAATGTCATAAATAATGAAAGAAGTCCAAAAATGAAAGAAATGAAAAATATTGGATGAACATTGAAGATGTAAAAATCTTGATTGTGTATTCTCTCCTTTATATATTAGGGGCCATTTGATATGCACCCGTAATATGGAAAATATATAGGGCTAGGCGCATCCCTAAAATTCTTTCTTTGAGATAACCCACTAGAGGGGTAAAAGTACTATTGTGCTCTTATGTGCAATTTTCGCCCAATTGGATTCAATATTTCCACCAATTGCATTTAGCATTTTCGGACTTGCATTTATCCTTTTTCCTGATTTTCATTTTATACACACACACACACACACACACACACACACACACACACACACATATATATATATATATATATATATATATATATATATATATATATATATATATATATATATATATATATATATATATATATATATATATATATATATATATATATATATTAAGTTTTCATTTTTATTTACTCAATAAGTCAATATCTTGGACGTAAATATTGAAATTTAGTCTCTGGTCATTTGCTGGTGATTGTTGGTTTGGAGTTTATTGTAAAGTTATGGTCTTTACACACTTTTATAGTATACTTTGATATAGTTTGAAATATATGGAGAATGATGATGTGGGCAGTTCTTCGGTTAAGTCGAGGACAACTAGGAAAAATAGTTCTGAAGTTTAGAATTTTTTTCAAAACGTTATTGACGATGGAAAACAAAAGGCTAAATGTAAGAGATGCGGTCAACTCTATGTGAGTAGCGGAACAACAAACTTGAAGAGACATCTTGAGAGTATTTGTCGTTTTCGTAGTGGTGAAGATGTTGTCGAATTTGATTAGTATTTTTGTAGAGAAAAAGTAGCCAAAGCGACTATCAGACACAATTACCCATTTAATTTTGTTGAACACAAAGGGATTCGAGAAGTTTTCTCTTATTTGAATCCAAAGGCTCAACATTTGTCGCGAAATACTTCAAAATCAGATGTTTTTATGATCTACGAGAGAGAAAAGGAAAAAACTTAGAGAGATGTTAGAGTCTGTATGTAGTAGAATTAGTTTGACATCTGATTTGTGGTCTTCGATTGTTTCCAATGGCTAGATGGCAGTTACAGCTCATTATGTTGATAACAATTGGGTGTTGCAGAAGCGTTTACTAATTTTTCGACATCTCCCTCCTCCACATGATGGACAAAGTGTTGGTGAAAAACTGATTAGTTTCCTATAGGAGTGGGGAATTGAGAGAAAAATCTTTACTCTTACCTTGGATAATGCAAGTTACGACAACGGTGTTATTAATTTGTTGAAAAATCATCTTCGGTTGAAGAATTCTTTGGTTTGTAATGGATAATTCATGCATGTGAAATGTAGAGCCCATATTCTGAATTTGGTCGTACATAGTGGTTTAAAAGTCATTAATGAGTCGATTGGGAAAATTAGGGACAATGTGAAGTATGTGAGAGGGTCAGAAACAAGAACTTTGAAATTTGTCGAGTGTGTCAAACAATTAGGTTTGAAGACAAGTAAGAAAGTGGTACAAGATATGCTGGTTAGGTGGAATTCTACCTATATGATGCTTGAGAGTGCCCTCTTGTACAAACTTGCTTTTCAGCAATTGAAGCTCGTAGACATCAATTACAAGTGGTGTCCGTTATATGAAGAATGGGAAAGAGTGGAGAAAATAGCTAAGTTTTTGAGACCCTTTTTCGAGAAGACCGAGCTTTTCTGTGGACAACATTATCCAACAGCAAATCATTACTTTCCAAATGTCTGGAGAATACAGAGGTTGATACATGATGAAATGACAAGTGGTGATTCCATAGTAAGTGCTATGGCAAGAAGCATGAAACCGAAGTTTGACAAATACTGGGAATGTTATAGCACATTACTATCATTTGCTATTATTCTTGATCCTCGTTATAAGCTGCCATTTGTTGAATTTGCTTATGGAAAACTTGATCAACTCACAGTTGCAAGTAAGATAGAGGATTTGAAAGAGCAAATGCATGATTTGTTTGAAGATTATTTATTTGCATCTCCTTTGACATCAACACAATCTTCACATACTGTTGGTGTTGGAGTCGATACTGAAATGTCTGACGCTTTTATGGAGGTATGATATAAAAAATAATTATGCAGTCAAATTTTCTCTTAGTTTTAACTTTTAACACATGTACTAACATGAATGAAAATGAATGAAATTTTGCAGGAGTTTGATGCTATCCAAAGTCAACGAAATATTACTCGCAGTCAGTCAGTCTCAGTTAGAGAAATACTTGAACCAGCCTCTACTTGATAGGAAGCAATTCCCAAATTTGGATCTGTTAGACTATTGGAAGGGAAATGCTACTACATATCCTGAGGTAGCATAGATGGAGCAATTCCCAAATTTGGATGTGTTAGACTATTGGAAGGGAAATGCTACTATATATCCTGAGGTAGCATAGATGGCTCGTGATATTTTAGTATACCTATTACCAAGGTTGTAAAAATCGGTAATCGGGTCCGACTCGGTCAGGCACCGATTCACGATTAATCGGTGCGGCGGTGATTAATCAGTGATAAATCGGAAATAAATCGGTTTTTAAAATTTAATATAATATATTTGTAGATATTATTTATAAATACTCAAAACATAGATAAAAAATATTTAAACATAGTTATATCTCCATCATGTATATATTCTAATAACATAATAAAAGTTTAATAATAATAAGATCATAATACATAAATATCCTTATAAAATATAAATAAAAAGGCAATTTTTTTTGAATTTACATACATTCTTGGCATACATCATTAGTTCTTTAACAATAATAATTAACATAAACAAAATAAAGCATAAACTCCTTTTTTTTTTTATATTTAAATTCCAACTTTTATTTTGATTTATAAAAAAAAAAAAAAAAAAAACCGATTTTTGACCGATTTTTTCCACCGAAGTTTGACCCGCCTTAAAGGTTTGACCGTCTCGGACCGCCTCAGACCGCCTCAGACCGCCTCAAACCGCCTCAAACCGCCTCAAACCGCCTCACAGGCAAAAAACCGATTTTTCAAACCTTTACACTAAAATCGTAAAGGTTTTGGACCGCCTCCGCCTAGGCGACCGATTAATCGGCCGCCTCGGCCGATTTTTAGAACACTGCCTATTACTACTGTTGCTTCGGAGTCAACATTAAGCCATGGAGGCATAATCATTGGAAAGTTACGAAGCTCGATATTACCGAAGAATGCAGAAGCAATTTTATGTGCAAGAGATTGGCTTGAAGGTCCAACTACCACAACTTTAACACTTTAAAGTTTAAACTTAAATTTAACTTTAAATACTATTTTATAATTGTTTCTAGTTGCAGCTTATGATTCCGAAGATGAAGAAGTCGATGAGATGCTTTCGACTGACATCGGAAAATTAATGGCCCAACGTGGATTTACGTCATCTTCCTAGGTAACTAACTAACTAACTATTAGACTATCTTAAAAATATGGGAGGTGTTGTCGAGCGTACCACCACGAGAGCCGAAGTATCAACTTCGTATATTTTATTGCGTTGTATTTTCTTTTTAGTTATGGATATTTGATATGACATTTTATTTGTGATTCCTAAAATTTCTCAAGACGTTGTTAGATTTGAGTGTGTGTAAAAAGTGTGTATGTGGATGTGAGTGTCTGTATATGTGTAAAACAGTGTGTGTGTGTGTAGAAACTGTGTGTGTATGTGAGTGTGTGTGTGTGTAAAACAGAGTGTGTGTGTGTGTGTGTAGAAACTGTGTGTATGTGAGTGTGTGTGTGTGTAACACAGAGTGTGTGTGTGTGTGTGTCGAAACAGTGTGTGTATGTGAGTGTGTGCGTGTGTGTGTGAGAGAGTGTATGAAAATTGTGTGTAAAAAATGTGTATGTGGATGTGAGTGTGTGTGCGTGCGTGTGTGTAAAGCAGTGTGTGTGTGTGTAAAAACTGTGTGTGGATGTGAGTGTGTGTGCGTGTGGTACTGACATACTTTAGATATATTTGTGTATGTGAGTGTGTGTGTGTGTGTGTATGTGAGTGTGTGTGTGTGTGTGTGTGTGTGTGTGTGTAACACATTGTGTGTGTATATAGAAACTGTGTGTGTGTGTGTGTGTAGAAACTGTGTGTGTATGTGAGTGTGTGTGTGTAGAAACTGTGTGTGTATGTGAGTGTGTGCGTGTGTGCGAGTGTGAGTGTGTGTAAAAAGTGTATATGTGGATGTGAATGTGTGGGCGTGTGTTAAAACAATGTGTGTAAAAACTGTGTGTATGTGAGTGTGTGCGTGTGTGTGAGAGTGTGTATGAATATGTGTAAGTTTGAAAGTAGAGATATTAAACCACATAAATTAAGATATTAAATCCTAAAAGTTGAGATATTAAACCACATAAATTGAGATATTAAATCCTAAAAGTTGAGATATTCAACCTCATAAGTTGAATTAAAAATGGAATGAATCCATGTGGATCCAATCCGGATCGGTCTAAATTCGATCCACATTAAATCTATTCATATAAGTTGGTTTTGGATCCGGTTCCATTTGTATCCAATCCACATGGATCCGAATCGGATCCGGTCCAAGTTGCAAAATTGCCACCCCTACTACATATTACTATATATAACTATAGTTATTTATAGTTAAATCTTTATCCATATTCCAAACAAATCGAGCTAATAGCACAGACCCTTCTGTGTTATTTCTAATTGGCAAAAAAGTCCCTATAATAAAAAAATTACCAAGAAACCCCCTATGTTGTGTTAAGTATAGCACACAACTCCTTAATTCAGATTTTACAGTTGACTGAAGGAAAATGACAAAATACCTTTACCAAAGAGGAAAAGGGAAAAAAATTAAAAAATAACAAATATGAAATGTGATGAGCAAACAACAAACACTTTCAACGAAGAAGGCAGAAAAAAAAAAGAAAAAACAAATCCACAGTGCTGTTCCATTTCCCGTGATTTTTCAAGCTTCCAAAATCATGAAACATTTCTTTCTATTCTCTCTAAGAAAGTCCACAAAGTGAATTTAAGATATTAGTTGGTGACTAAACTCAAAATAGAGGTTGAAAACATCGTCCAACATCGCCGCCGACCGCCTTTCGCCACCGGCTTTCCACCATCAAAATCCCATCACCTCGCCGTCCCCCCGTTCGTTGAAACAAGAACCGGTCAACTAATTAAAGATAGTTCATATATTTTGTTTTATTTTTGTATTCAAATCGAAGGTCAAAACCTAAAATATGGAAATGGATTGTGAACTCCCAAAACAATAAAATTATGTAGTTCTAATCGAATTATTTCTGGGAAGGTGGGGTATTTTGTTTCTGGAATCATGGGGTTTATGGGTGGCTTGAAGAATGGAGAAGGGCTGGTGTAATCGACGGAGATGGAGTAGTCGAGCTTCTCCTTGTACGGCAAAGGGTCTCAGCAGCTCCCTCCTGAAATTTGGCTTCGGCTTCGGCTTCTCCTTCTCCAGTGCCCCCAGTATTAGCGCGTGAAAATGGTGGTGAGTTCGAAACAATTGGTGATGAGATGATTTGGAGAGATGGTGTTTTTGAAATTGTCAAGGACTGAATCGAAAATTATGAAAATTTCATTTTAGTTTATAAAATTTTCTGGATGAATATGTAATTTTCAGAAAATGATTTAAAGGGTATTTGTGTCTTTTTGTATCAAAAAACACACCTCCAGTCGCTCAACACACGCGTGCATCGCACGAAAAGCTTTTAGGGGGGATTTTGGCTTTGACTTCCTTTTATAGGGTGGTATTTGCTAATTATTTTATCACAGGGGCTTTTACGACAATTAGAGTTTACACAAGGATAGTTTTTGCAAAAAACCCCAAACAAATCAGGCATATCATCCCTTCACTAAACATTAAAATGCGTGGCCTTGGATATGTACATAAATACACACCGAACTACACCAACTCTTGCAAAAATGTTAAAATAGACATTTTATGGATAAATCTTGTTATTTCTTCACTATAGCCAATAAATGCCTCACCAAGTACAAATTTCAAATGATAAAACTCAGCACTATAATATAACAAATCAAATGATATCGTCTATCGACTCTTATCACCATTACAACGAAATTAAAACCACCAGCACTATATAAATATGAAGGAAAAATTCTTATTTGGGTACCCATAATAACATATACAGTAATTAATTGCAAGCCCAAGACAGCAAACTTTTCATCAAATCAAGCATCAATAACTAATGTTAGAACAAACAGTAAAATTAGGGAAATAACAACACAATCATTCAATCAATATCTCAAAATCACTAATAAAAATAAAAACCAAGAGATGCTCGTCAAATTACCTGACTGAATTTGAGAAATTCCACCACCACAAAACCCACAACTCAAACAACGAGCAAATCGAGACCAGCTACGCCCTCAACATGAGGGGCTATAAGAGCAATCCCGACGAGGGCGGCAACGACGTAAAACCCGCCAGGGGCGGCGGTGAAGGCTCTAGGGAAGGAGGATGAGATATGTACGCCAACAGCAGGCCGAGGGGTCGCCCAATGGTTCCAAAAACAAGCCTCTGCTCTGCTGAGCTACTTCTTCTTCTTCTTTGTCGGCGCGAGATTTGGCAAGAGAGAGTTAGAGAAAGGGAGTGATGAAGAGATAGAGAGAGATGGATGGATGTAAACGGTTGAGACGTGTGAGTGGAAGAGAGAAGGTTATGGGGTTAGGGCATTGAATTGAACTAATATGGCAAAATATGTACTTCAAGTTGCTAGGGGGATTTGTTGAATTCAATGTTTTGAAAATCGGACCGGACATCGATCCGGACAAGCTACTGGGTCACGGTTGGACCGGTTCAACCGGAGTCCAACCGGTTTTTTCATTTTTTATTTTATAATTATTTATACATAATTTGTTTAAAATAATTATTTACACATTAACTCATTACTCATTTTTAGTTAAAATGTAAATTAAACTTATTTCTCTTTTACACACACAACATAGAACCCAGACACATCACACCGAATAATTTCAAATATTATAGAGATTATAATAAAAAATAACACGTCTACCAATTTCAAAAAAAATATTTTTTATTTAATTTTACTTTCAACTGGGCAGTATAAAGACATCGTTTTGACCATTTTATTTGTTTGTTTTTATTAAAAAAAAAACAATTTTGGGCAAAAAAACCCTGATTAACACCCGGATTCCGATATTACGGTTCAACCGGCCAAATCGGACTAGACAAGGCAATGGTTCGCGGTTTAACCGGTTCAATCAGTCGGTCCAGTCCGGGTTTCAAAACATTGGTCAAATTAAGATTAGAATTTGAGTTCTTGACTAGGACAAAAAAAACTCATTGGACCTCCTCATATATATATTTTA